AAAGACCGAGAGCAAACCGTGTTTGTAGCAAAGTAAAAATATTTTTTAGTGGAAAACGTCAGACCTGCTTGAAACAAACACGTTTATCTGCCTATTTTGAGGAAAAGCAGCCAACGCATTTGCACTCTATGGTTTTCTCAGGTTCGTTCGAGGGTAGACGGAGACAACAGCTTCGATAATTGTTTCGGTTCTTACTGCGATATCCATCTACAAAATCAATATCACGATTCCGGATTTTGATTCGATTTCTGTTTAGCTATAGCTCCAACCGCAGTCTCATTTCAAGCTTAAATATTAGGTACCGTTTTCAATACAATTATGGTCCTTCTATACTGATAATAAACGGTACCCACTCTATACGAATTTCCATTGATCATTTAACTCCTTATAGGAATGATTTTTGTTAACTCTGAAACAAATTTCTAACCTTAGAAATACAAATGCAACTAACAAATTTATCGGTTCTAGTTTCAAAAACCTCTCCATCTAACCGAAAATAATAGATTTTTCGGTCAAGAGTTCAGCTCGTCCTTTGACGAATCAGTGTCGGGACATGCAACTTTTGTGCTCCTACTGATAAGACGTCTTAAAATCGAGAATTTGTATAAAACAATAATGATTTTAAATTTAATAAGTAAATAAAATGTTACTTTGATATCAAATATTTTCTTCTAAAGAAAATGTACTTTAGTCAATTATCGAAATTCATTGGGCAATCACAATAGTAGAATGAGTCATTTCCAGCAAAACATTCGCGTTTTGTGTCTGGCGATATCAAGACTCGTTAGCTCAGTGGTTAGAGCGTTGGTAAACTCTATGCAAATCGTTCACTTCTAATCGCATAAAGACGGAGGTTCAGATCCTTCACGAGTCAGTACTGTTCTTTTTCTTTTCGAAATTTGTCCCATTTTACGTGACTTCCAACGAGAGTTTAAAACGCATCGAAAGTCGGAACACAGAGGTTCATATTCTTCATGAGTCTTTTTAGTTCAATGTCTTTTTAGCATTGAAAATGCTTTTCTTACGCTTTTATAATAAAAGTGCGACAAGGGCATAGCGTCGTCAATTATTAAAATACAAGAATATAAATGGTATTAAAGGTGCGCTATAGAAAAAGCTACAACATTAGACGAGGTTACTGAGAAACATTTTATAATAACATATTTAAAATTACAAAATTACAAATTTTGACGTTCTCTCTAGGAATGTTTCATAGAAATTTTAAAATTCAGCTCTACCGAAGAATATTATTAAACTTTTGCGAAAACCGCTAAAAATACTAAATCGTCTGAGCCTGTAATTATGAAGTTCCGTGGATGGATATTGGGATTTTGTGGTCCCTTGTGAAAGTGCTTTTTTAAAATCATATTAAAGTTGCCTTTGATTTCGCAAGGGCATTATTTATACAAGACAAATTTATAACATTCATAACGCTGATTTTGAGATTAATCAAGATCAATTAATGATGCACACTACGTAAATGTTACGTTGGCTAGTCTAGTCCGGTGTGGTGTGGCATATGGTAGTTACCAAAGACACTGGCGAATACTAGTGTACTAATAACAATATTCGAACAATGAAATGTTATTCAGATCGATCGCATCAATAAGAGACTAACTTTGACCGATTTCGACCAAAAATCGACCGTTTCACGGCTGAGGACTCGCATCGATTGTGAACGAGAGTACACTGACGTATATGATGACTGAAAACGTTAATTTTTACATATCGACAGACACATTTAAGAAATATTACAAAAGTTATTATGTGTATGTTATTTTTAAGATCAGGAACAGACTATGATTTATGTATACCTATTTAAAAAATATACAAGCTTTTATTAGTTTAACTGTTTGTATGTATGTATGTCTACATATGTATCATCATGAAAGTCGGCAATTGTGCGTAGTTGTGATGCCAATGTACTAGGTAAGACCAGGAAGTCCATAACGGAATAACATATTTTGGCCTCGTCAGACTTGTTGGAGTTGTCTTGAGATGTACACTGGCCATTAGCCATTTTGGGCTGGTCTTGAAATAGTCTCGAATCGCACTATGGCGATGATCAGCTATGAGGATCTGATGAGGGGTGCGGAAGGTTCACACTGAAGCTTCATCACGAAGGAACATATCCTAGCGGATTTCGGACTTTTTGGAATTGTCTAGATGTGCACTTTGACAGTGATTGAGTTTCGAGGTCCGACGACGGCGCTGGAAGGTAGACGCTGGAACTGCCTAGCAGTACAACGTGTTTTGGTCGTGTTTGAATTTGTTGGAATCGTCTTGAATTGCACTCCAGCCATGAAACGTTGTCAGATCTGATGACATATGTAGGAAGTTGACACTGGAACTCCGTAACGAAACGACGTCTTCTAATCTCGTTCAGGCTTGCCGGCATTGTCTTGAGATGCGCTTTGGACGTGATCGACTCTCAGGCTCTTTTCGGATAGACAGAGAGAACGGTTTCGATAATTGTTTCGTTTTTTACTGCAATATCTATTTCTTCTTTTATTCCTTTCATTTATTCCTTTTGCTATCGAGTTCGTTTCCATCGTGCTCGAGACGTACGTACGTAGAGCACGATAACTGTGAAGTTTTGTGTTACTACATTATGTGTATAGCTTCTGTTAAAAATGAAAGACGTTATATTTATATAAATAGAAAATGAAATCGTGTCCAATAATTTCGAAAAGAAAAACGATTGCTCCACAACGAATCATTCTGACGTTGAGAACAATGCGTTTGCATTCTTATAGTTGTATCTCGTTACTTAGTTGTACGGTTTATAAATCTTCTATCACTTGAGACTCTAATCGCACGATTCGGGAGTCAACCCTCGATAAAATCAGAGCGTTGGGCAACTATTAAGTTAAGGTAACTTTAGTTATGTACAATATGTGCAATTCAAGCATCTGCCCTGAAAGTGATGATCCGGTAAGTATAAGCTGCCTGGCTAAACAATCCATTTTCTTTATGATTCGATACATTTAACTTTATTCAGTTGTAAACTCAGCGATGTAGGTAAATAGGCGTCTCGAAGAAAATTATTCATGAGGTACGAGCTTCTTGCTCGAATCTGATTTCGATCACGGTGCCGGATTTTGTGCCGATCTCTCTTTGCTATCGGTTCCGACCTCAGTCTGATTTCGATCTCCTATCCTGGTACCGCTTTTAATACAATCAATAGTCCTTCTCTACTAGAAAATGAACCGTACACACTCCTATACGAATTTTCACCCCTTATAGGAGTGATTTTTGTTAACTCTGAAACACAATCTCTTTCCTTGGAAATAAAATCGAACTATAAAATTCTTCGGCTCTAGCATCAAACAACCCCTCCATCATACTAAAATAAAACTTTTTGTCTAGAATTTGGTTCGTCGCGTTAACGAATCGGTGTCGGGACATGCAACGTAATGTGCACTTTCTGATAAGACGTTTTAAAACAAGCTTTTATTTTAAAACAAAAAATTTTAAATTTAATAGATAAATAAATAAAATGTTACGCTGAGATCGAACATTTTCTCCAAAAGAATATGTACTTTCATGTCATGATCGAAATTCATTGCGCAATCACAACATCCAATGAGCAATTTCGAGGAAAACATTCGTGTTTTGTGTCTGGCGATATTAAGACTCGTTAGCTCAGTGGTTAGAGCGTTGGTAAACTCTATGCAAACCTAATCGCCAAAGACGAAGGTTCGAATCCTTCACGAGTCAGTACTCTTCTTTTTTCTTTTCGAAATTTGTCCCATTTTACGTGACTTCCAACGAGAAGTTTAAAACGCACCGAAAATCAGAACGCATAGGTTCATATCCTTCACGAGTCTTTTATTTAGTTCAATGTCTTTTTAGCATTGAAAATGCTTTCCGATCGCATCATTAGGATACCCCAAACCGGTTTTCAATAAAAGTGCGACACGGGCGTAGCGTCGTCAATTATTATAATACAAGAATATAAATGATATTAGAAGGCGCGCTATAGAAGAGCTACAATATTAGACAAAACTTTACTGAGTAATGTTATTATAATAACTTATATTTCAAATTACAGATTTTTGACCTTATCTTCTAGGAATTTTACATTGTTTTGAAGATCGACTCATGACCTGAAAGTAATGAAAATTTTCGGAATTAGAATTTTGAAAATCGACCGTTTCACGACTGAGGACTCGCATCGATTGTGAACGAGGTACTGATGTATATGATGACTGAATACGTTTATTTTACATATCGACAGAGTTATTTAATAGGTATTACAAAAGTTGTATGTTATTTTAAGATCGGAACGATTTATGATTTATGTATACCTATTTATTAAATAAAACGCCTTTATTGGCTTATAAATAGGTATACCTATAAATTTATGTAGCCGATTCTTAGAGTCTGAATTTCACACAATTCCAATTGATGTATCATCATAGAAGTCGGCAACTGTGCGTAGTTGTGACGGCAATGTACTAATATGGTATCACTGGATTGATCTGATGATGGAGCCTGAAGGTAAGGCCAGGAAGTCCATAACCGAATAACATATCTCGGCCGCCAAGCTTGTTGGAGTTGTTTCAAGATGTACTCTGGCCGTTAGCGATTTTGGGCTTGTCTTGCAATAGTCTCGAATCGCACTTTGGCCATGATCGGTTTTGAGGATCTGATGAGGGTCGGAAGGTTCACAGTGAAGCTTCATCACGATACAACATATCCCAGCCGTTTTGGGCTTTTGGAATTGTCTAGATGTGCACTTTGGTCGTGATCGACTTTACGGTCTGACTAAAAAATTAGTTTTATAACATAGTCGAAGAGCAAACTAACAGGCGAATAATCAGAGGGTGGATGATCACCGCCGCCCTTAGACTAGTAACCCGGAGGAGTCACCGGTGCGTTGTCGGCCTCTTAGGAGGAGCTCTGGAGGTCGGGTTGACATAACGGGTTGAGGCGGGAGTAGCCTAACGGAACTCAAACTCACTGGACGGAACATAACATCGAAAGCTGCTACTTCACGTCCGTGCTCTGTGAGTGTGCGGTATTTCGCCGATCGAGCCGGCCCGTTTTGTGTCGTAGCGAAATTGGCCTCAGTTTAGCCCAATCACAATAACTAAATATTGTTTCAACAAAAACTTTGTAATAAATAGGTAGGTTTTGTACTAACTGGTAAAATATAAGCATAGAACCTTCTCTCTCTCCGTCTCTCTCTCTCTCTCTCTCTCTCTCTCTGAAAAAGACCGAGAGCAAACCGTGTTTGTAGCAAAGTAAAAATATTTTAGTGGAAAACGTCAGACGCTTGAGAAACAAACACGTTTATCTGCCTATTTTTGAGGAAAAGCAGCCAACGCATTTGCACTCTATGGTTTACTCTCAGGTTCGTTCGAGGTAGACGGAGACAACAGCTTCGATAATTGTTTCGGTTCTTACTGCGATATCCATCTACAAAATCAATATCACGATTCCGGATTTTGATTCGATTTCTGTTTAGCTATAGGCTCCAACCGCAGTCTCATTTCAAGCTTAAATATTAGTACCGTTTTCAATACAATTATTAGTCCTTCTATACTAGATAATAAACGGTACCCACTCTATACGAATTTCCATTGATCATTTAACTCCTTATAGGAATGATTTTTGTTAACTCTGAAACAGAATTTCTAACCTTAGAAATACAAATGCAACTAACAAATTTATCGGTTCTAGTTTCAAAAACCTCCCATCTAACCGAAAATAATAGATTTTTCGGTCAAGAGTTTGGCTCGTCGCTTTGACGAATCAGTGTCGGGACATGCAACTTTAGTGCTCCTACTGATAAGACGTCTTAAAATCGAGAATTTGTATAAAACAATAATGATTTTAAATTTAATAAGTAAATAAAATGTTACTTTG